GCTTATGTTCTGTGTTATGCGTCACTGGAAACAGGCATCTGTGCACAGATATCACTGCAGAACTATACTTTTGATATGACAAAACAAATAAACTCCCAGACAGAATATAAGTGTATGCATATTGTACAAAAAAATAGCCTGGTAGCTTACCCTCCATCAATAGCTAGAAGGGAGCTGTTTTCTTCAGACTTTCATCCCCTCAGTTGTGACCTGTTGATCCACGCCAGACTTTTTGTCATAGGGTGACAACACTGAAAAAGCATGTATCTCTAGAGGAGCATTGTTGTCACCCTAGGATGCTCAGACTGGTTGGACTGGACTGGCTCAGCACAGGGCACATGTGTGAGGCCTGATTATTGCACAACACCCAGCTTCTATTCTACGCATCATTATGATGTGCACCATTGTATCAGAAGATCGAGAACAGAGCTATGGAGCTGTTCTGATCTTATACATTTGAAAGGGAAGATATTGACATAAGGCGCTTTGTAAATAGAATAGTTTTAGACATTTTTGTCTTGCTGTCTTCATACAGACTCTTAGAGGATTCAATATATATGTAGTATATGAGACGTGTTCCATTTTTGCTCATCAACAAGTAGACATGTGGAATGCTGCATGTTAAAAAAAATGTTTCATGTCAACTGTAGCTAACTTTAAACAGCTGTGGGCAGAAACCGCAGCTACCAACAAATTTAAAGTATTTCCTGTTGGGCACAGTGGACACATGAAGGACTTTTGCAGTGATAGCTGAACAAGATAGGCAATGCATAATAGTTAAAATTGATTATCTCTTTGACCTTACTTACAATATCAAAGGTATTAGAAATGTGGAGAAAGGTGAAGTTACCCTATAGGTTAAATGAATAGTCTGTACTCAGTTCCACCTTCTCTGACCCTATACCTGCATTAAAAGGTTCACAAAAAAGAGAATTGTTGCCTTGAGTTTCATCTAATACTTCCTACTGCTTTGCATGCAAACTATATCTCCATATTGTTTTCTTTATTGCAAACATGTCATTATAACAGCTGTGATGAAGTGGATATGAAACCATTATATTTGCTTTCGCAGGCACTGGAAGCTCCAACAGAAATCTTCTTAGTTTTATCAGAAAAAGCAAAAAAAGTCAAATAAAAACTAATATGCCATTCACAAATTTTGCACAATAGTTTACATTCTTAACAATTACATTGTGTTGAAGTCAATTCTTGAGAAGAAATGTTTTTTTTTTAGTTGCCACTACAGTTACAGAAACAGCCTGTCTTCCGGTTATAACAGCTGCACTTAATAACAAAATAATAAAATACATACTGTACATTAAAAATATAAATTAATACTGTTGCAAGGTGTTACAGCAATCAATGAAGAAGGAGCCACTGTCAGCAGCTCTAGTACACAGACTGGGACCTCAGCTGTCAAGTTGACAGCTCATCTTGGCAAGTCAAATGAGGGAATGTGGGCCACTAGAAGCATTCTAAAGCTGCCCACACACCTTACAATTTATCTGCAGATTTTCTGTGATCAGATGGAAAAAGTGCAACAGATTGGCCCAGGTGGAGATTACTCCATCCACACAGTTAAGTGTAGATGGAGGAATCTGTTGCACCTTTTCCATCTGACCACAGAAAATCTGCAGATAAATTGTAAGGTGTGTGGGCAGCTTAAGATGCACAAGGTAACTCAAGCCTTAACTTAAGCCTCGTCCAGACTTAATTAGTCCATTCTTTGTCCACCAGTGGTTAAAGTAAAAAATCCACCCCCGTTGGAAAGAAATTATTTTATTTACAGCCTGACCTCCCTCGGGATGGTGCAGCATGTAATCATACTGGTGCTCCTTGCACCTATTAGAATCAACCACATGTGCAGAGCTAAGGAGGGGTCTACACAGCTCAGTGCATGCAACCACATTCTGGATGTAAACAGTGACAGGAAGTTAGAAAATAAAATGGAACAGAACACCACCTCCGTGTGTAAAATCGTTTATTAGGATAAATAAAACAAGGGATAAATGTACTCACAAGCAAACATTTTCATCAGGCTTTAACAACAAACAAGAGGCCACACTGTCTGTTAACCCACATGGTATCACCCTGACTATGTAACACGGTAGCCTCCGGTCACATCATCGTCCACCGGCCGCAGTCAGCCAAGATTGACGCATTTCTGGGGCAAGCCCCCTTCATCAGAATCAGATACCGTGTTACATAGTCGGGGTGATACCATGTGGGTTAACAGACAGTGTGGCCTCTTGTTTGTTGTTAAAGCCTGATGAAAACGTTTGCTTGTGAGTACATTTATCCCTTGTTTTATTTATCCTAATAAACGATTTTACACACGGAAGTGGCGCTCTGTTCCCTTTTGTTTTCTATGTTCATGGTGGAAGCCCCAGAGCCTTGGATGAGCAGCCCCTCAAGTCTGTGTGAAAGACTGTGATTAACTGTTTAAAACTTTGAGTATGCAACAGCAAGTGAATCATTCAGCTGGCAGCCATTAGCGCCAAGAGTTAAAGAAAACTTTTTGTCTGAAGTGACAGGAAGTTATTCATGTTGGAGGCAAACTGTTCAATACAGTTTAAACAGAAGATAAATGTATTGTACCCCACCCATATAATTTACTGATGCAGTAATACATGGAAGTGCTGATAATTAGGTCTGATGACCACAGATTGAGTGGGGGGAAGGGAGACGTAATGTTGCATACAATGCCATCCTCATTTCTCCAAAATTCAATAATCTGCAACAAGACATTTAGATTTAAATCTGATGTCTATGATGCAGAAAGTAATGACAACTTTTAAAAGCTACAGACCAGATTGAACATCAACACCCTAGGACACATCATAGCTCAATAAAACATTACAGGATCTGCACAGCCTGTTATTCAGCCCCGTCCTAAGTTGCTAAACGTACTTAGTAGAGGCTGGAAAGCCAAAAACTCATAATACAGCCTGTTGCAAATAGTCTGAAGGAGTGCACATGTGTATGACTAGGGTTAGTAGCCTATACTAACATATAGATGAGCAGCACAGAGTTAAGTTTTATACGATTTCCATAATTAATGCTGCAATGGTGCTACAGTAATAACTAGTGTTTACACAAATGTATAAGAGTATAACAGTTTGATAGCAAAAATGCCAATTCTGTAATGTACAGAAGGCAGATGGGACACATTAAATCTCTAAAGCAATATTCATACATTGAATCTATATCATGTTTGCTCTTTATCAGATAATAATTTAATTCTGTTCTATACTATGTTGGGTGTCCGAGTGTAAACCTGTGCCATCTGGAAATATGAATAATTGGCAATGTCCTCTGAGGTATCACTTTAGCCCTCTATTGATTGGATGGTAATTTGCTTGGTGACACCCTCTAGAGGTTCAACAAAAAGCTGCTGCAATGGGCAGCTCCAGCTCTTGATTTCCATGCCAAAATGCTAACACTCATTTCTGAGGGCCAATTAGACTTACTCTGAAGTGAACTGGACTCTGCACAGGAACCAAAGACCAGGAAAACTTTTTTAAGTAGCTTTTATTTTTAAACCCCTTTATTTTACTATCGCTATTGTCTGTTTTCGTAATATATTTTATGTAAATATTGTCTTGCACCATGTTTTCTTTTCATCAAAACAATATTTCTAACAGGGTTATTCACAAAAGGGTGAAGAGTTTGGAGAAGCCAGGAGAAGTGAACAATCTAGGCCAAAATAGATGATTTGGAAAAATTCTCCAATTCAGCTCACTTTCCAGTTCAGCTATGTTGTCCTAGATTGTTCACTTCTCCTGACTTCTCCAAACACCTCACTCTTTTGTGAATAACCCTGGTAATCTTTAGGCAAATCTATAAATGCTCTGATCAGAAATGAAAGAATCCTTGCCTCTTCATAGACAGCTACCATATTATAAACTCTGTTATCTTCCTGCTTGGCGTGGCAGCGCGCATCACAGACATTTAATAAAAGTCAGAATTGCTACAGCAAATGCTGTAAATAGTTCCTGTTACCATGAAAACACACACCAGTGGTGGTATCTACTGTTTGGGAGTGTAAAGGGTTAACTACGGAGTTAACCACCCCCAGTGATAATCACTCTCAGTATGTTGGCCATTAGATTGTTGTCCCACAAGCTTAAAAATCTCTGTGCAGGGTGGAATTGAGAGTGCAATCTTCACATTGTGGTGACAGCAGTGGGATTGGAGACTGCCTCTGCCATATTCTGATGGAAGTAGAAGGATTTTAGACTGCCGCCATCACAATGGGCACATCTATTTTGACAAGAAACAAAGAGACTACAAGAAATAGAGGAAAATGTGTAGCAATAATAACTGTTTGAAGTTTAAAAGCTTTTGCTTAAAATCAAGTTGCAAAACTGCCTTCTTGGCTTCCCAGCAATTCCGCAGATTTAAGTCATGACCTCATCTCAGCTACTTTGCTTTTAAAGGGAGCTTTGGCACTGCCAGATCATTTAAACATAACAATACCATCATAATTTACTTCATAAGCTGTTTCACCAGTATGCCTTCTTTTCCCAAAACTTGTCGTCTCTGAGGACTAAACACTGTTGTTATTGATATGCAAATTTTGACTTTCTGAAAAATCAGTAGCTAAGCCTTCATTTTCATCTCTAACTGCTCCCCTTGGCAGCTGACATATGCCTACTGCTCTGCAAAAATCAGCCACACATGGCATGTCACAGAAGAGCAGAGGTATCTGACTGTGATTAACAGGCAGGCTTCACCTTCTCTATCCTGTGTGAGAGACAAGATGGCGGAGCCAAGTTGGGTATTAATAGCTGAGTCTCATAGAACAGACTAGGGCAGTTTTTCTTAACTGATTACACACGGGTGAGTTGTTTATAAGATGAATAGTTCATATTTAGGAATGGTTTCTGTAAACACTGGAAAAAGGAAAGGGTTAATTTAATATATGTTCTGCTTTTTATAACACATATAATTCTTATAGTCTTCATACATATAAGGAATATGACAAAATGTCAACCTACCCTGTAGTAATCAGTGCTGTACACATCTCTAGACATTCCAAAGTCTCCAATTTTTACTAAGAGGTTCTCTCCCACCAGGCAGTTCCTTGTTGCCAGATCTCGATGAACGAAGTGCTGTGAGGCTAGGTACACCATACCTGCTGCAATCTGCTGGGCTATGTGTAGCATCTGAGACTGAGACAGTTCAGCGGGGCGGTTCCCTTCTGCCATAAGCACGGCATCAGGACCATGGGCCCTAAAATAGGAACAAAATGGTATCAAAAAGGATGCTAACAACTGAACAGTACTATATCTGGACAGGTCTCCTAGGAACTTTACCAGGAAATAGTAAAACAATCATACAGGGTTTATAGCAGTTGCATTTATACACTGGCTATAGGAAAAAGAATCAAGGCCAGAGCATACTGTGCCTTCTTGATAGTAACCAGACCCTTAGCACCAGAGTTACATAGTTACACTTAATTTGAAAATAAACTATTTAAATTTATAGAGTTTCTGTACTTGTTTGCTATATTGCTGTATTCAATTATCATCAAAAATCGATCACAATGGACTGCAGACAGGGTTCATAGATTCTACAGGGATACTTGCTAAAATACACAAGAGCACACTGGGTCCTGTATAAATTGACAGATAAAGAATGTGCAATATCCAGTGGCAGCCACTCATATATTGGACTTCGGCAGTTTATGTAGTCAAGCTGATTTCCAATTGGTTATTATTTGTTAAAATGAATATTGAATGTAAGAGATAGAACATAATTTGTTTGTTATAAAACATTTTTTATAATAATCCATATTTGCTATGAATATACACATGAGTTGTCAATACCTCCTCTTCAAAGTTCAAATTTCAAAGCCAAAATTTGAAAAGCAGGGAAAGAGAGAGAGAGAGTTCATGCACTATATAAATTATTTGCTAATACATGGAATAATAAACTAAAATTGCAAAAAAATGTGGCTGATTCACTAAAGGATATTCACGTAAGCTGCTGCATTGATCATATGCAGAGTCAGAAAAGCAAATCGCATCTGCAAGGTGATTCACTATCCACCCACAATGCACAATATGTTAGATTTTATTTTTATTACATGAAATGTACACTTTAGCGTCTGCATTTATGCATTTTTCATTCTCAAATGCTTTTAGGTCCAACTAATCTGCTGTTAACATTTATCAGGGGGGAGTAGAGCACATGTACTTATTTTGTGCGAATGTATAGAAGTTAGCATGCGTAGAAGTTACACCATCATACCAGATTCTGTATGCTGGTGCTTACAATGGAGATTTTAGTAATACTTGTACAGAACAAAATGCAAAAAACCGTATGCATTGAACATCAGTGTATGATCAGAGAGATTCAGATTGGCTCTTCGTGTGTATATCAGCATGTTCAACAAATATGCCCAGTTTCGTCAAAGGTTATATTGAATTTGCACTACTAAAATTCATTGCGATCTCTTAAAAATTAAGCATTGAAAAAGGTTTCTGGAAACAGCTTTTTTTGTTTTTCAATTACACAACTTGAACACTGTTATTTTATTTGAGAAAGTTCATCTGTGGCCAATTTTCTGGAAGAGGATTTAGTTTAATAACTGAACTTATTTATTTGATTTGAAATGTTCAATCCACATTCTTATCTCAGCATCCTTCCTTCAGTCATGAAATCAAAGTCTCCCACAGCGCGCAGCTGTACAAAGCCACAACAGTTTTAGCTGTGCTTACTACACTCCCCTGAATCTTTCTCCCTACTATGAACTCTGTACTCAGACATTGCATTTGACCTTCAACATGTGGTCTGATGTTTGCAACATGAAGCTGTGCAGCAGAAAACTCTGATCTCAAAATTCATTAAGGTCCCAAACAAATTTCCCAAGACAGCCTCTGGGGGCAGTGCAGGTTAACAATTTATCCGATGAAGGGTTATTTTCAGCTGCAGCTATTAGCGTGGTGAAATGTAAAAAGCGATTAGAAAGCAAATAGGTTATATTACAAATTATATCATTTGGACTTAATTAGATTTTACCTTTATTACAGTAACTGTAAAATACTGTTTTTGACATTCTTGACCATTTTATTGGACAAATGCTTCTGCGCTGTCTTTATGCTTACTGAGATTCTGCAGCCCTCGGTTATACTGCATTAGAATATCATGCCAAGATGTAAATTCAGGGCTGCTGTATGTGAGTGATTGTTAAGCATATTTCAAACAATTATCCAGAAGGGCAATCACTACTGCCTGCGAGATTGTTAGGAGCTGGAAGTGATTGTTGCAATACAGATTATGAAATTAATCTTGCTGCAGTGGTACAAAATAGAAAAAAAGTCTGGCCAACGATCTTATGAATCATCATTTAGGGATCACGGACATCATAAGCTATACATCTTCTACATCTGATAGTATAACATGATTACAGGTGTAACAAAGTAAACATTATAAGGGCGGTACAAGGTCAACTAAATTGTGTGGCACACTTTCTTAAATTTAGACTAAGCATCAAATAATCATGAACCTGGTAGCAATTAATAAGTTAACACTTTAAATATCTAAAGACAACAGCTACAATAAAGGCTTCATTTACCTGAATGAAGACAATCATGGGTATATGACTGAAGGTGGCTTTACTTTTTAAACAGAGCTTTTTGTATCTGAGCACATCATAACTGATGGTGCATTTTTTTATGTTAAGCAATCATTTGACTTTAGGATGCTTACACAGATTAGCCAATCCCTAAATCCTATACAAACGGTAAATAACTTTGCCTGCAATAGTCACTCTGTTGGCATACAAGAAGGTTAAAACAAGCTGTATACTACATGTTTAGACTCAAACAGTCTCTACTAAATGAAGCACTCACAACCTAGGGTACATTACTATCCAGTTGTTTGGAATCTAGCATATTTTGTGTGGCATACACTGTTTTTTTATGCATTCAGCACTTCCTCATGTGTACGCATGTAAGCCAAGTCTAGTGGTTTATAAATATATAATGGATTTGGGGCAATTACATTTATTCATGGACCTTATCTAGATGTGCATGTCAGACAGTATTAGGTATGGTTTGTGTCATGCAATTTTCCTATTTTGTAGATTCTTGCTAAGTTATTTTGCATTCATACTTAACAGATATAGTGGTCAAAATCAGCTGTGGTATGTCGTTTGTATACCAAAAGTGTGTAATCTTATTTTACATGTAAAACAGCAGAGAGTGCCAGAAAAGTCTGGCCTGACCGCAGTTCTGTAACAAATATATTTTATGTGTTGCTGTAGAAAAGACTAATTTAAAATTTAAGTTAATACAGGCTCCAAGATCTTTTCAGATTAATGTGTAGATATTCCCTTTTAAACCAATCAAAGTACCAATGTACCAGGAGTTGTATCCAGTGGCTCAGAAACCAGAAAAAAGCTATAAACTGCTGCATAAAGTTTTATCTTCAATTCTCTGTTTAGAATCCCAGTGAAAAACAGCTTACATTGCATGGAAAAATATGACAGACTCCAACTGATCATTCAGCATACACTGGACAAGTTAGGTTATTATGATGACTTTAAAATTTGCACTGAGACTAAAGATAACTGTCTCAGAAGGGAATGTCTGTATTAAAAATCTATGGTTTTTTTTGCTATGCATTACAGTAATTAAAGAAGCCTCACTTTTCATACAGCTATGCCTCAGATGTTTATATTTAACTTATTTATGAGATCCATAGGTGTGTGCATAGGTGCATGTGGAAGGTATTTCTGAATCTCAGTTAGCAGTAGCTACAAACAAGACTTCCTCTAAATAGGCAGAAATCTCCATGAGAATAATGGAAGATGAGATATCTGCCCATCCTCACATGTGTTGACTGAGCACCAGCACATACCCGATTCTTAACTCAACAATGACAGTGGTACATACACAGTACTTTGGTCTTTTGCTCCATAGTGCAGGCCCAAGTTGGAAAACCTCACTGTGTGATAATCAGTGTTTGACTCTCCCTCAAGCACATCATAGCCTGATAATCATAAGCTATTTATTGGAAGTCTTAGGATGCAAGAATCTCAATAACTAAAATTCGCTATTCAAGTATTGATGATGATAGTTACAAAGATGTCCCTCTTCTGTGTGTGTTAGAGTATATGTGTTTTAGTCTGTAGAAAATAAATCACCGTAGCAGTTAAAATAAACGATTCATGCAGATCAGAATCAGAATCTAGCTGGAGCTGGATTTTTGGTTGAAAATAAAATAAATCATTTTTGTGAAGAAATATTGTTTTATTTTACAGCATGCTTTCCTTTTAGGCAGTGCCCTATGAAACAATTCTCTATTTCACAAGAAAAAACGCTGGTTAAATAAAAGTGGGGTCTCCTATCATAAACGAGAGTTCAGTCTTGTGTGAGTGCTTGTACTCTAATAAAGTAGCTTATGTGCATATATTTATTGCCAGAAACAACTAGGTAGGTGCTTGGTTAGCCCAACAGTTATGATTTACAGAGTGCAGTAATGTATAGCAATAAGATATCAACCAGCGAAAATATTGTAATATGCTAGGGGTTAAAACAGAGAAGCATGGTGGAGCTTTAGCCTATCACTGACATAAAACAATGCGATGGCTTACAGCTTTCAGTCTCATAATATCAACGCCCCATCTACATGCTAGTGCCTTTTATATACAGTAAATCTTTACAGGTTCACATTACATCTACTGACAACCACACCTACTTAATTCCCCTCATGGTAAAGTTATCATTATATTGATAACTGCAACATACTATATTTGATTCCAGAGAAAGGGCACAAAGCATTCCGTGAAGAATTCTGTTTCAAAATGATGTAGGGAAAGTAGCCTTTATCAACTGGAGATCAGATGGAGCCTCATTCAGTTTTATGTTGAACTTGACCTACCACTTTGATGTCTCCCAAAACAGTTACTTTTAGGCCATGTCAACTGTCAGTGTGCTCATTTCAGCTCTCAGCTGAACTTTACAGCCTATGGTGTCATAGCTGATCATATGTGCAGCACCATGGAAACTGCAATCCAAATAGGGGCTAAGATGGAACCTTCCTTGGCTGTAAAGGACAGGAGGGTGCAGTTCTGCTTTTAATCCTTAAACCAGCTTAGGCCGCAAAGGAGTTAGAGGGTAAGATGTGGGCCAAAAATCAACATTGTATGTTTCCATACAAACATCTCTACATAATTCGAGTTGGGCAGGATTACCAGCCATAAGCGCTTAAAAAAGGAAATACATTTTTGGATGAGTAGTATAATGTAAATGAACCATGCATGGCGATTAAATATATATGATGATTCACTTTGGGGTGTAATATCCAGAAGACCGGGACTATAATGAGATCAGGACATGTGGGATTTTCATGCCAGGATTTATTAACTTTTTATATGCTTTTAACTATTTATAGGTTTATATTGCTGAAGGGGTATTGGTATTTATATTTTATTGGTTTGAGTAATTCAATTTGAAATATAATTTGAAATATAATTTGGTGGGATTGTTGTTGCTTCATACTGGATATCTCCAATTTTTGAGGACTATTAAGGATACAACCAAAAATCAACATACTGTTTTGCTGAAACGTTTGGGCTGTAAAACAATTTATGAATGCTTATTAACGCTTTTAGGATATCTTAAGCTATTTTACAGTAAGTAACTCACATTTATTGTTAATTTAACATGGTACAGAATTTTGTACATGACACTTTTCTTTAAGATCCATTGGTTAGACTATACAAGAGCAACTAAGTGTGCCTTACCTTAAGAACTTGTTGAGGTCACCATGCTTCATATATTCAAAGACCATAATAAGTGGGTCTCCCTCCACACACACCCCATAAAACGTTACAATATGTTCATGCTGCAAGTTTGTCAATAATTCAGCCTCCCGATGGAAGTCTTTCCGTGCATTGTCGCTAGCGTCTTTTAGTGTCTGCAAAATAAAGACAATGAAAATAAGTCTTCTATAATAAACCAGATCATTGGTATTTACGTACATAAATGCAACACTATGCAAAAAAGATATGTAAGAATTCACAAAGCTGAAACCCTTAACTGAAAAGAAAAACACACACAATAATAGCAATCTGTGTTCGTAAGTAGAATTCAAAGCTGTTAGTGTTGCTTGGCAACTAGAAGACGGCAAGTTAAGAAGCCAGAGAGGCCAGTATAAAGGTGGTGGGGGGGG